ATCGGCGTGGAAGCACTTCCGGCGGCATCCAGACGATGCAGTGCAGGGCCTTGCCCCGGTGTGGGCTTACGACTGGCTTACGCGTCGCAGTGTACTGTACACAGACGCAGACGCTGCTGCAGACTTGGCTGCGTAGCCACAGGAGGCGTAGCCCTGGCCGCGCGCCCGCCAAGACCATTTCCATTTCCCGCAGCTGGCGAGGAGGCCCTCTTGGCCCTCTCGGCGGCGGGCAGGCTGGGGGCCGGAGGGCGACGTCGGAGGGTCGGCGACGGATCGCCGATGGCGGCCTCTGCGCACTCTGCGCGGGTCGCCTCACGGCCTCCATGGTCACCGCTATCTGATTCGGCCGGCCCAGCCGTCATTATATAAATGCACCTCTACTCCAGGCCGAGGCTCGCGGCGTGGCCGGCGTGGCGTGGCTTGGCACCCACGGCACGGCGCGGCACGGCGCGGCACACGAGCAGCAACCAGCAACGCCGTTTGTTGTTGGCGACTCTGGCGTTTGGGCGGGGCGGCGGGGCGGTGGGAGGGGGAAGCCGGCCGGCGGGGTGGCGGGGCGCGGCGGGGCGCGGGTGAGGCAGGCCAGGGGTAGGGGCGCGGGGAACCGGCGGGGAGGCGCGGTGCCGGGTTGTGTGGCGCGGCGCGCGGCGCGTCGGTCGCTGCTTCGGCTTCAGTCGGAGTCGGGACGCCCCGCAAGGTCAACCACTTGCCCGTTCCGTTGTGCTCGCCGCTCCGCCGCCGCTCCGCTCTCCGGCCGGCCGCAACCAAGCCAAGCTCAAGAGGGACGCGACGTTGTCCGTTGCACTGCCCGCCGGCCGACCTGCGCGGGGGCCCCTCGTTCGCGTCCCGCGTTAAAGTGCCAGTGGATTGTGTGATAAACAACAGCATAAACAAGATCGTGTGTGTGCGTGTGTGTGTGATGACGTGAGGGACGCCATGGTGCGCCACCTAGCCGTCACTTCTAGCCAGTGTAAGTGTCTGACGGCCGCGCGGCGCGCGTGCCGGTGAGAATAAGAAATGAGGTGAAAGTGAAGTGAAGTGATCTGTGCGACACAGGATTTACGGTGGTGATTGTTCCTCCTGGTGGAAAATAAGCAAATGAAAAGTGGTGCCGCCGGCCTCGTCGATACACACCTGGATTACGTTTGGTGCATCGCCCCCTGGGGGCGTTCTTGCAAGCCAACGACTCTGTGGATACTTTACAAGCCAGCCTCTGCTGTGGATTTCCTCGGAGAGAAGCAGTCCTGCCGCTGTGTGCTGTGAACGAGAGAGATAGCTGCAGAAAGTGCAACCGGTCTTGTCTCCCATCTCGCTTCATTTCTCTGGGATTCTGCCCTCGTGCCGTGCCGCCCCCACTCCCGTCTTGACCGCCTTGTTGACGGCATCGGTTTCTAATACTAAAGAGTCGAAACTGAGGAAGGGGGGAGGGGGGATGGCGTCGCTCAGAATCCAAACAAGAAAAATGATAAAAGGGAAATTATTTTTCGGGTGTAGCTGACGGCGGCGGCATAACGCTCCTCGGTCACGCTGCCCCCTCCCCTTACCCCCGCCTCCTCGCCGCTCGCATCGGGTCGTCTTTGTCTCCTCCTGTCCTTGGCCCGTCGCCGCGTCGCCCCGTCGCCTCGCTGCTTTTTGGAGGGTATACGCGCCAAGCGCTCGCCTGGCAGCCCGGCAGGCGTGGCCCGGCAAAATGATACAGTAGGGGCACAAGCAGGCACTGCGCGCTCGCCGCGCTCCTTGCTCCGCGGTCGGCTACACTGTTGGCCGCGTCACCGCCCCGATGTTTGTTTTCCTTGGCGTGGGTTTGCATCACGGTGTGATAGGTGCCCCCCCCCCTCCCCCTTTCCACCGGGCCGCTTCCTTGGCAAGCGAGTCACTCACTAGTACTCCCCGCGCCCCGGGGTGGGGTGGGGAGGGGTGGGGCGCCTCGCCGCCCCCGCCCTTGTAATGAGCTTCCGAACGGCGCGGCGCGGCGTGGCGGCGGGACTCGACTCGAGTGAGGCATGAGGCCTTGGACGGCGGTTAGGGGGAGGGTCCACCCTACAGTTTCGCAAGTACTCTGCTCGGCATTGGCCCCGTGGGAACTTTCCTCCTCGTGCGCTGCGGCCTGGGGAAAGGGGGGGGGGTGCACCTCGCGCCGTCATTTAAATATCTGGGTAAGGGTGAGGACGCGGCGGACCGGCGCCGCGGCTCGCTGATTAGTCGGGTTTACAGTGTCTCGCAGTGTCGAGCGGCGAGCATGGGAAGTAGACACCCCCACCCCCTCCCGTGCCCCTTCGACGACCACACACACCCCCAGAGGTTCCGCCCCCTCCCCCTCCGCGCGGCCAGATGTCACCGTCTGCCGCTACAATCTCGCACGATGTGGCGCGGCGAAGTAGATGAATGTTGAACGCCTCCCCTCCCCCTCCCCCTGGCGGCGGTGGCGGCTGCGCGGAGTCTGCGAACGGGCCGAGTAGGCCGAGCAAAGCGGGGCCTTCGTTATCTGTTGGCGTGCTGCGTGTGCATACAGTGGCCCGGCCGGCCCGGCTGCCGAGCGATTTAGAAGAGCAGTTTGTCGCTCTGCCACTCTCGAGCCCTGGCGGAGCGCCCCCTGAGTGCGACAGAGACCGACGATACGGCTTTTCTGAATGGCACGGTCGGTGGTGATGACGCGGCCGGCTGGTGTGGCGGCAGCGGCGGGGCGCCCCGTTTCCGCCAGGTGCCTGCGTGCCCTGCATGGCCCTGCATGCCTGGTTCCTAGTGTAGCCGCTAATCAACGCCGGGCCGGCTCTGATTGCCGGCCGCGCGGTGAGGGGCAGGCTGTCCCGCGCCCACTCTTACGTCACTCCGCGGCGAAGGGAGACGTGGACGACGACGCCGTCACTCTGAATCTGGGCGGCCCGGCCTGCCGGCCCTTGCGGCCCTTCGCCCCGCTGCTGGCCGGCCGGCGACCTCGACAGCTGTAGCAGCTGCAGCTAGGCCGAGGGGCTATTATCTCGGCCCGGCCCCACCGGCCCGCTGGAGCGAAAGGATGCGTGGCGGCGGAGCAAGGCGAAGGCGGCGTGGCGCGTCGCTCGCCCGTTTCCAACAGTGTGCCGGCGCAGCTTGTGGTGCACCCTGTACCGCCGGGCCGGGCGGGCCGCGGGCCTCGCCTCTATCGCCCTCTCTCTCGCTCTGTGGCGTGGCGTCTCCTCCCCCCACTTCCCACTCCACACTCTCGCGTCCACCGCGCCGCCGCGCCGGTTAGGTCGCCGGGCCGGCCGAAGCGAAGCAAAGCGAAGCTCCGAAGCCGAACCGCGCCGCCGACCCGTTCCTGCCCGGTGCCGGCGGTGCCCGAAGGGCCCGAGGCCCGTTGGTGCGGGGGATGCGGGGTGTCGCGACAACGTCGCGGGGCGGACGCCGGCTGCCGGCTCCGGTCTGTGCAGGCTGCAGGCCCCGCGCGGCGTGGCGCGGCGTGGCGTCCGGTGCGTGTAGTGTCAGGCAATGGCCGGGCGATTCCGTAGCGCGTCTCGTCGCTGTCTCTCTCGCACTCCCACGGCACGCCCCACGAGTGCGAGGGAACGACTCTGCGGCATCAGTCATCCGGCTCTCGTTGCACCCCTCGAACCCTGAACTTTGAACCTTTGGCTGGTCGCTGCCCTTGTTGGCCAGGTGCAGGCAGGTGCGGGGGGCGTTTTGATGTACCAACCCGTCCCAGGAGTGGGGATGAAGGACATGGCGGGGCTGGGTTTTTGGCGGTGTAGGCGCACCAAGGCGCACCCCGCACGTGACCACTCGCCCCAGCCCACCCCGCCGATCGTGGGAAAAGTATTTGACGCTCGTCCTCCCCTCCACGCCCCCTGCCCTGCCTGCCCTCCCATTGCCGTGTCTAAGTAGCAGCGGCGGCGGCAGTTTGAAACGGATTCACATCATGACACTTCCCCCTCCCGGCCCCGCGCCTCACTCTCCCTCTCCCTCTCGAGTGCGGCGTGATGTTAATTTTGCTGTGGGCGCGACCGGGCCCTCGTGGCCCTCGTCGGAGCGCTGCGATACGATGCGGCGGCACGGTACGGCACGGCGGCGTCGACCGCGACACTGTAGTGCGTACAGTAGCACAGCAGCACTTCGTACAGCACTCGCGGGACTGGGACTCTGGCGGCGACCTGGCCCTCCGGACTGCGGATGCGAGTGCGGTCGTTTGGCGCCACCGAGTCCTGTTTGTGCTCGGTGCGTTTGTGACAGTCGAGCCGGGATCGGGAAGTCCGCGACCCGACGCCGGCACCCCCCCCCCCCCCCCTTTTCCTCTCGGCTTTCCTTGCACCGCAGTTGGCGATTGTGTAACTTGTCGTACTGAATTATACGTCGTGGCGAAATTAGAAACAAGCGGAGAGTCGGGTGCGGCAACTTAAAAGCTCTGGAAAAGTTAACTGGGAAAGTTGCGGCATCGGGAGAGCGGAAGGGGGACGACGCTCGCGCGCATTTGAGACCCCAAGTTGTCTGAGTGGAGGCGGGGCGGGGCGGGGCGGGGTGAGGCAGGGGCCAGTCGGAAAGTTGGGACTTGTGCTCAAGTTGTGGAGTTGGCGTGAGTTTGGAACTTGGGTGGCTGCCTGGCCCGGGCCGGGCCGGGCCGGCTCAGCGGGGCTGTGTGAGCCCTACGCCGCGCCGCGCCGCCCCGCCCCGGCCCCTTGATACTTGCCATGATAAACTTGCGCCTCGACCGTTTTGGTCCGGCGGGCGAGGCGGGCGACGCCGCGCCAAGCGCCGCTTGAAAGTCTGTTGACTCGCTCCCGTTGCTGTTCCCGTTTCAGGTCAGCTTGTTCCGGATTAGTTGCGGCCGAAGTCAGTTCCGTTGTTGTCGGGGCGGCCGGTATGAATGGACAGGCGCACCTGGCGGACAGGCAGACAGACGGACGGACAGACAGACGCGCCGGCGTGTCTGTTCTGCGTAGCTCGTCACTGGGGATTTGCTTGGCAGTGTTGTGATGTGCGCCACCGACTGGGACAGTGTGCTACAGTGTCGTCTTCTTTTTCTGTTGCAGGCGGCTGTGCGAGGACGATGTCGCCATGAAGTGGAAAGTGTTGTGGAAAGTGATGAAGTAGGAATAAGTGCATCAAGAAAGAAGACTGAGTGAACCCAAGTGCAAAGCCAGCTAACGGCAGTGATAATACTTTTTGGAGGGGTTTGGTGTTTTAGTCAAACCCTCTCGTTTTTTAATTTTTTTTGTGGTGCTGAACACACCATTACCTTTTTGTGCTAAGTCATCGATGGACAAAAGAAAAATGTTGACAAAAAGACAACGAGTTGAAATCACCCGCGGCCCCATCGCCAATGGCCCCATCCAGGCCCGCCCCCTCGTGGCCCTCCTCGACGGCCGCGACTGCTCCATCGAAATGCCCATCTTGAAGGACGTCGCCACAGTAGCCTTCTGTGATGCCCAGTCAACATCTGAAATCCACGAAAAGGTGAGAAACAGGTCCTGGTTTTCATGTTCCCCCGACTGCCAATGTGCTTAGATTAATGAACCTCTCGTGTACGTACAATAATTAAGTTGGATCCCTGATGTGACGCGGGTATGAGTGGTTGGTATTTTGTTGAGGGGCTGTGAGTGTCTAAGTGGGTGTGTTTATTTTTACTGTCCAGTGGGGCCTCAATAAATCAATCATAATAAAGATTTTTGTTGTTTTAAGTTGTTGCTTGTCTTTATTTTGTGACAAATCTTTTGTTGTGTTGTTTACCTTGGTTTAACTCATCTCATTTTGTAATTGTTATGTAAGAAATGTGAAAAACTAGTTTTGTTAACTATATTGTTCCATTCAAAGATGTTTTGTAATCTAATTCTTTTCTTGGTATAACTGAAACGATTGTTATTGCTGTGCGTGCTTGCATGCATTGAACCCTGTATGTATTGGTATCTTAGTTTTTTGTTTTGTTTGTGTGTTTTTCAGGTGTTGAACGAAGCAGTTGGTGCTCTTATGTGGCACACTATCATCCTTACTAAGGAAGATCTGGAAAAGTTCAAGGCTTTAAAAGTTATTGTACGAATTGGAAGTGGAGTAGACAACATAGATGTTAAGGTGAGCGTTCGGCTATGAATGACCTGAAATTTGCCTTACTGAGTCTATTCTGTGCAACTGGGGTCTCATCTGTATTTTTAACTTTTCTTGTTTGTTTACTAGGCTGCTGGGGAACTGGGAATTGCTGTTTGCAATGTACCTGGGTATGGAGTTGAAGAAGTTGCAGACACAACTTTGTGTCTGATCCTAAACCTTTACCGCCGCACTTACTGGCTGGCCAACATGGTGCGGGAAGGCAAAAAGTTCACTGGTCCTGAACAGGTCCGGGAAGCAGCTACAGGCTGTGCAAGGATACGAGGAGACACCTTGGGAATCATTGGACTGGGTATGCGACATTCCTTTTTTGTAATGTTACTTCAGAAAATATTTTTTTGAAATATCACTGGATGTTTGTTTACAATGCCCTAACTTGATTGGTTTTGTGTTTGCAGGTCGTATTGGTTCGGCAGTAGCTCTCAGAGCGAAAGCATTCGGGTTCAATGTCATTTTTTATGACCCATATCTTCCTGATGGTATTGAGAAATCATTGGGTCTCAGCAGACTTTACACATTAACGGTGAGTTCCTTCAATTTGGTTGCTGAACTTCCTCTTGTCGATGAGACATTGGTCCTGTCTCTGTGTGGGAAATGTTATTTTTACAATGTTCTCTTCGGTTTCAGGATCTGCTGTTCCAATCAGATTGTGTATCGCTCCACTGTACTTTGAATGAACATAACCACCACCTTATTAATGAATATGCCATTAAACAGATGAGGCCAGGTAAGATCTTCAATCTAGGTTCCTGTGATTAGTACACTGCAATAGTTCAAAACAGTACCTAATCATCTCTCTTTAATTTTGCAGGTGCATTCTTAGTGAATACTGCAAGAGGTGGTCTTGTAGATGATGATGCACTAGCTGCTGCATTAAAACAAGGTAGAATCAGAGCTGCTGCCCTAGATGTTCATGAAAATGAGCCATATAATGCTTTCCAAGGTGAGTTTTACTTGTTTTGTCTTGTGTTTGTTTGTGAATTTTCACATAACGTTTTGATACAACTTTTAATTTTTTCATTTGATGCAGGCAACCTTAAAGACGCCCCCAATTTGATATGCACACCCCACGCGGCCTTCTACTCCGACGTTTCCTGCTCAGAGCTTCGGGAAATGGCTGCCAGTGAGATCAGACGTGCCATTGTGGGGCGGATTCCGGAGTGCCTGCGCAACTGTGTGAACAAGGAGTACTTCCCCTCAGTGCAATACCCGCAAGACGGAATTAACGGTGGCTACTATTCGGCCGGTGGTCTGCAGACATTACAGCCCGCCCACTCCACCACCCCCCACGACCAGGTACGGCATTCGAGCCCTGGCGACAGCGGTAACAACGGTGGTGGCGGTGGGGGCAGTGGTCCGGACAATCCCGCTCCCCACGGCCCGTGAACCCTGGCCCATCAGGTCCATCCTGTCGATGTCCTAATTAATTTCACCTGGGGAAGGAACATTAGGAAATCAATTGTCGGATCCAGTCTTACCGGGACTCAAAAGACGGGTACAAGTCGAACTCTGTTCGTCCCCTCATTTATTTTTTTTGTTTAGTGAAGGGAGATTCAGGAACGTCGGCCAGTACACTAGTTGTCTTCGCTTTTGCTGTAGCATAGAAGATAGCATTATGAATGCATCTTTTATCTGATGCAGCTGTTTCCTGTAATTTTGTAGTTAAACCACATGAGATTGGATCCAAATGGCTTAGGGTAGCAAAGTGGATGCAATTGCACCATGAGTGACTTTTTTTTCTACCCTTGTGAAAAGACAAAACTTCAAAAGATTCCCATTATGCTGAGACGTTAGTTTCAGTTGGTGTACCAATATGAGTACAATATCTTGAATATTTTTTTCTATTGTGATGACAGTGAATAAATTAAGGTGTTCTTTTCCTGTGCTCAGAGGCAGAACTGTAGGTAGCATGGGCCGCTCATCTGCTGCCAAGGTTCAGTGAAAACAAGTGAAATCAGGCAGAAAATTGAGTGAAGAAGAACGTGTGTATGTTGATACGTTGTGATGAGTGTGTTATCAAGTTTATACCCACGCATTACAAGCAGCGTATGTTTTCTTGATTAATTGAATGTACTTTTTTTTTATTACCCCGCCTCTGAGTACAACTTACGAGCTGGTAAATGTTACATGCAACCAAAAACATCATTTCAGTTTATAAAGAAAATAATATGTACAATGAAAGAATTAAAAGAGTTGCATTTAATATATTTATGATTTTGTTTTTGTTTCTTTTTTGTGCCAAACCCTTTGTGTGTTATGTGGTGCCTAACACTACCCTTCCCCACATTACTTTCTTTAATTGACTCCTGAACTTGGCTGACTTCTTGACGTCACACATTGGTCATTACATTACACTGTGAAGTGCAGTCTGAAGAGAAGAACATCTTCTTTTCTTGTGAGATTCCCATGGCGAGTTCTCCTTGAACTGTCTCCTTTTTCATTCAGTCTATTTTGCCACCGCCCTGCCTGCTGTGTTAGGTACAACTTATGGTTGCTGCTCTGAATGCTAAAATTTTGGTTCTCCCTCTTTTTTTTCTTTTTTAAAAATATCTTGAATTCACGAAATGTTCATGCATGTGGATAGTAGCTTTGCCCCATCTGTGTACTTTCGCACATTGCCATTTGGGTGGTTCTTAAGTGTGGGTAGGTAATAGTACCCTCAGGACTTCAGATGGGTTATCTTGCTAGTTTGATGGAAAGTTTTGTGGGAACCTAGAAAACTGCATCACATACCACCCACAATTGTGAGTCAGCATAGAAGTTGTGCCGGAGTTCCTCCTCAGTTTGAGAGCATTCATTTAGTGTGGGTTTTCTTTTTTCTAGATTTAACAGTGTGCTTAACATTTTCTTTTCTCTCCTCCAATTCCTTGATTTGAATGCTGCAGCTTGGCAATTTTACAATACAATTAAAGCAAAGACTACTGCCTAACTACCCATAGCTGGGATTAACATAGTACTGCCCCATTTATACACCTTTGAGCAGTTAGCCAACCTTTTTCTTTTTTGTGTATGTCATGCCTGACATTAGTTTTCACAAGACAACTTTGCCAAATAGGTCAAGGAGATGGCATCTTCTAAGTTAAATTAACAAGTAAGCATCCCTGCTGAATCATAAATATTTATGTTGCTCTTGCAACCAAGCATGGAATAGCATCTTAACATGCTCCATTAGCCGTGGGTGTTAGGAGTAGCCATAGTGATGGGAAGGACAGGGTGACAAGGAGTGAGCATGCATGTTGACCGTTTCAGGTGCAGCACCAGGCGGCTGTGGCAACTAATGGAGGAGCCGCGTCTGTTGTGGGAGCTGCACCTCCGGGACCAGGTACAGGGCCATCGTTGCCTCACAATGGGGTAAGGATTTCAACTGCTGTTTTAAAGGACCAGGATGTGGGTCTTGATTTTCATGAAAGCGCATCATTCATCCGGGCTTAAAGTAGCGCATTGGTTGTTGACAGGCTCCTCCAGCATCAGAACCTGGCCCAGGCCTGCACCCACCTCGATCTGAATCAGCCGACAACCATTGACTGTCTAAGTAACTCAAGATTCTCTGCCTGGCAGTAGCAGCAATTCCAGCACCAGTGTTTTCATAGAGGTGGTTCATAGAATGAAATGACATTCCTGATGACCTTTGGTCGCAAACTTTAAATGAAAGATACCATCATACATGCTAAAGCTTTAGTTAATTATTTCAGTGTGGACTGATTCACACACTTTTGAATTCAAGTGTTGACAGAAGTGCTTTCAAGACTTGAAATATTAATGAAGTGATAGTGTGCCTTCAAGTGACAAAGGAAGAAGAATGTGTTTAATTTGAAATTCACACAAATTTCCAATGCAATGTGAAAGTATGGAAGTACAAGTTTTTGTATGAGAAGTGATATTCCTTGCTTCTTCATAACTATTAATGAAAGAAAAAAAACAACCTGCTGTTATCTTCCCAAGTATCTTCCTCGTATCTTTCTCTTTTCCCCCATAATTAAAAATGTTTATCACTTAAAGAAAACTATTTTGTAATGGTTATTGTAGCCCAGCTGTTGGTGGTATGTCACCACCGGTAATTTTAAGAAAAAGATTGTTTGAGATTATGTGCATGTGATTAAAAGTATACTTGATGTAGGAAACCTGACATATTAGGATAATTAGTCAAATTGGATAGATGAACTTGTCTCTAACCATCTTAATTTGCATGCCTTGTCAACAAATATATTCAGTGACCTTTTAGTTTGATCATATCTGGCATTTAAATGTATTATTATCATTAGGCACATCCTTTTCTCTGTCACTCCACAAATTCAGAAGAATTTCGGCCAAGTTGGCTATCACAAGTTGAATTTTGTGAACAGAATTGTGGCAGTTTCAGTGTATGTTGGAATGTCATTGTTCAAGGCATATAAAACATTGGACTTACTGACTTGTTTGCTTTTCTGCATGACTTTCTCCTCGCTATTTACTGGCTTGGGGTTCAGAATGGAACAAAAGTGGTAGTAAGAAATGTACTTAAGTTTGGGACAAATTTTATATGCTTCACATTGCTAACAATTTCCCTTTTTTGTTGTTGTTATTGTTTTTTTTTTTAAATGAATATGCCCTAAGAAAACGAAAGAACAAATATCACTTTTCTTAAGACACTGAGATAACATGCTGAATAGCAACTCAAGTCCATAGTTGTAATTTTGCACTGCCAGTCTTGTCCTTTGGGGAACTAATTTAGTGAGCTCTAAAGACAGTTTAGAATTTTTAAGGCGTATATAAGACTTACACTCCATGAGCTGTGGTGCATTGTTACTTGTCGTTGTACTGTTACCTCAGATTAGTCATGGTTTGTTGATTTGCTCTGTGATTTTAGTGTATTGGGAGGGGTATATTATGTGCTGTGATTGTGACTGTATGGGCTGAAAGATCAAGAGCTCATTGAAACCAAATGTTCTCCAAAACCCAGTCCTTTGTTTTATATGCCTGACGTTTGTTCTTTCTTTTAGTAGTTATTGGACTGTATGGTCGTTCATACCTGTAAGGAGTATTTCTCATCCTTTGTACAATTTAGTTTCCATGTCCCTTTAAGTAACTTCAATCAGATTTTACAAAAACAAACAATTTTGTGTATGTGGGTTTCCTGTGTGTTGATTGTAACTGGAGTTAAGGATTTGGCATTCATAGAAGGCAATTTGGTTTAAAAAAAATCCTTATTTTGAAAATTTGAAATGTACTTAACTTTTGTAGTGCAAAGGAGGACCTTTTTGTTTGTCTAGGTGTTGCTTTTATGTTTTCGCATATTTTAATATATTTGTGCTGCACTTCCATCTTCTCCTCTTTTGTGATAAAATTTAAGAAAAACATTTTGTTGTTTTATTTTGCTACACACATAACACATTTAATAGAGATAATTTTTCTAAATATTTATTGTTTTTAATGAAACTGCTTTCTTTACTCATCACATGCATGGAACTTGTATATGTATATTCATCAAAAGCAAACCCTTTTATTCAATATACTTGTGAAGGCACAGAACAAATTGCATTCTTTCCTTTACAAACAACAAATATCTGTCTTTACACTTCTTTACTTCTATCAATATTTTGTCCATCACTACAAAGCTAAAGCTGGCTACAAGAAATTTCATCTTTTTATATGTAATAAGAAACAAACCAGGGAATATTTCCATTTACATAAATCCTGAATTGCCTAACTCTTTATTTATCACTTGCAATGATTGCAACTGTTGGGTCAAATCTTTGATTCTTTGATCTTTCAGTTGGAGAAGTGTGTCAAGATGAGAGACTTTCTGAATGAGAATATTGATAGCATCATCTTTCTCGGCGATTTCACTTAATTTTTCATCTAGTAGCCTTTGTGGTACCATATTCTCCATTGAAACCATCAGTTGTTGCCCATTGGCTGCTTCACATGCCATGGGAATACCATAAACTGCATCTAATTGAAGAAAATAATCCAGTCAATTTCTTTGAAACTGAAATCAATGTAGTACAGGGAGTACTGGCTCAGGTTTCCTGCCCACCTGCTTGTTTCTTTTCCACAAAACAGAGAATATTTTGAGGGTTATTGGTGTGGGTTCGTTTGTGCTCTGCGTCGCGCTTTTCCTTGGCCGAGTCTATCTTTTGCTTCAAAGATATGAGAACAGGAGTTATGTAGTCTGGAGAGGCTGATGCAATCTGTTCAATCTGATCTTTACTCAATTTTATTCCTATCTTAGATAACACCTGAAAATGAAAATATCTTTTCAGTTCTGGCATTCTTGTGATAGTATTCATTTCCTCTATTCCTGAGACACTTACCTTCCTATTAAGAGTGAGCCAATTATTTACTTTATGAATGAGGCAGCTTGCTGATGTGTAATTGTGAAGTTCAACCAACTTGGGATAGTAGTGTTTTAGCAATTCTGCCATCATGACTATGCCCAATAAATCAACACGATTATTTTTCCAAAATAATAATAAGAAGAAGAGAATTTGGTGGCATCATGGGTCTATTTACCTCCATCCGCAAAGTCCCGGGGAATGTTTTTCCTCGCCTTTGAGAAAGGGACTTGGTCTAACCATGAGGCAAGGGCCTCGCATGTGGCCGCATGCGGCACCTTGGCCCGGCCGTTGCCGCTCATCGGAGAGCAAGTAAGCTGATCAGCTCAAATGGCTCAAATATGCACGCTCCCCGAGAAACCGAAGAAACGCAACAAACATCAGTTGCATCCGGTTGCATCTGTGAGAAATTTATACTTGGAACTTCCCTTTTGCGATAAGCTTGCTACGCCCAAGCCTATGTCAGCCTGTTCACTCATTCATTACCAACCCTCGTGCACTTTCCAATAGGAATAATGCCTGTAAAAACGACAATATGAGTTGTTGAAACGATATTAGCGATAAACTTCACTTATGACACTTAAAATTGCTTAAAAAGAGCTACGGCCGCTGCCCACCTGAAACAGAAGGTTCTCATACTTCCACTCCCTGACAACAAAGAGGGGGAGGGAGGGAAGGGGAAGGGGGAGGTTCATGGCGGGCAGAGCGAGCAGGGGAATACGAATACGCCGTTTCACAAATAGAGAAACTGGCAGACCTAAGCCTGTAGTTTAGTGCGGTATCATAGAATAGTTTAAAAAATGGATTTGAATTTACCCGGCCCTGAACCGCAAGATGACTCATGTAGGTTTCTTTACGTTAATCTTTTTTAAAAAAATTTATGTAGTTGTGTATATGTCAAATAAGGTTAGGTAGAGGTACTTTTACTTTATTTGACTGTAAGAATGTTTGTCTTCAGTGTTATTTGTTCCAATTTAAATATTCTCTCAAAATACTTAGGACCCTTCTATATTCCCAGCCAATTATTTTTTTTCATTTTTCAATAAATATATACGTTTGCTCTTAAAAATGTGTTATTTACATCATTATTTCAACATTTTTCAGCATCCAGTGAGAGCGACAGTGAGTCAATGTCAAGCACTAGCAAGTCAGATATTCGAATGTCTGTTGATAGTGAGTCAGATGCGGGTTTTCGTCAGAAACGTACTAGAAGTCGATCAAGAAGTTTATCAGGGGATACTTCACCTCCTAAAAGACTGCGACATTCAATGTCCAGTATGGAGTCAGCAACAGGAGATGATACTACAGACGATCCTGATCATACTGATCAACAGTCCTCTGATGCCGAAGATGCCGCTCCGTCCATGAGTAGCCTGGTGAAACCTAGACAGGAAATGGGTTACACGGATACCAAGGCTGCAAAAATGATGGTAGGATATTTATCAATTCGGATTGCAGCAAAAGAGTTGTAGCTACCAGCGCAATTAGATTCTGGAAAGCCCTAAAAAAAATAAAATTGTGTCACCACTTCTGTTATATTTTATTTTCCAGGCAAAAATGGGGTACAAAGCTGGCCATGGATTAGGTAAAGATGCTCAAGGTAGAGTAGAACCTATCGAAGTATCAAAGCAAAGAGGAAGAAGAGGTCTTGGGCTGAATATGCAAGGTCTGGAACCTGCACGCTTGGAGTGGGCATCTGATAAAGAGGTACACTCGTATTGCTAATACAGTAGATGTAACAATAATGATCTTGTTCCATCTGCAATAAGTAAATCTTTTTTTTTTTTTTTTTTTTTGCTCAGGAAATTATTATTGAAGAGACTCCTGAGTGGCTAGAAAATTGGCATTTAGAACCATTTGAGGTATCTGAAGACTTCATTGTGGAAGGTAGGAAGAAGTTGATCATTGATGATGAAGCAGACTTTTGTTCCAAACGAATTCTTCAAGATATCATGAAGAACAAGGTGTGTATTTCAGATTCTGATCTAAATGTAGTATAAAATTCACCCCTTCAGTTTAAAATGAAATACATTCCAGACCACGTTTGATGAGCTGGATGGTCAAGAACTTCGTCGTGCAGTTACAAGATCTAATCCTTTTGAAACTATCCATGGAGGAATATTTTTGAACAGAGCTGCCATGAAAATGGCCAACATGGATAGAGCTTTTGACTTCATGTTCACTAAACCTAAAGATCAAGGCGGAGTAAGTGTGATACAAGCCTGAGTCCATGACATGGTACCAAATCCCTTGTCAATTTCGTAAACTAGTGTCATAGATTTTAAAAAAATTATGTGTTGTTTCATTTTTAGCATGACATGGTGGATGGCAACAGCTTATTGTACTTTGCTGATGTATGTGCTGGCCCTGGTGGATTTTCAGAGTATGTCCTTTGGAGGCACAAATGGAAGGCAAAGGGTTTTGGTTTCACTTTAAGAAATGAAAATGATTTCAAACTCGAAAATTTCTATGCTGGACCATGTGAATCGTTTGAACCTCACTATGGTTTGTAAAGCCAATAATAATAATTAAACATACTACTCTTGTATTGGTCTAATGTACTTTTGAGACATTTCTGTTTTGTTTTTTTTGTTTGTTTGTTTGTTTTTGTAGGTGTTAAAACTGGTGATGATGATGGTGATGGAGATGTCTTCAACTCAAAGAATCAAGATGAGTTTAGAAAGTTTGTTTTGGAAGGGACTGATGGATTAGGAGTCCATTTTATGATGGCTGATGGTGTGAGTAATTTTTTATCATACCTTATCTTATTATATCTTTTATCTTCTCCTTTTTTTTTCATTTTGACACTGTTTTTAATTTTTTTTTAGGGATTTTCGGTTGAGGGCCAAGAGAATATACAGGAAATTTTATCAAAGCAGCTTTATCTATGTCAATTTCTCATGGCTCTTTTAATTGTAAGAACAGGGGGTCATTTTGTATGCAAAGTGTTTGACTTGTTCACTCCATTTAGTGTTGGCCTAGTTTATCTTATGTACCGGTCTTTCTCACATATATCTATTCATAAACCTAATACGAGTCGACCTGCCAACTCTGAAAGGTAAGCCATATTATTTTTGCTGCCTTGTCGGGTCTTAGAGGTACCCTAGTGACTACTCGGGAGCTACAAAGATAGAGGCTGCTTATAAGAAACCTTTTTTCTCAGGTATCTCATCTGTAAATGGAAACGTGCGGATTGTGATCACATCAGAGATTATATGTATGACTTAAACAAACGTCTGAACCAATATGGGGGAACTGCAGCTGCATCGCCAAAAGACATTGTCAGTATAGTTCCTCTAGACATAATGAAAGAAGATAAAGCATTTTTTGAGTATGTTGTTAACTCAAATAACAAGTGAGTAACTAGTAAGTTAAACTCGATATTCCTCGTTAAGAGCACAACTTAAGTCTTGCAATTAATTTTTTTAGAATAGGCAGGAAGCAGATTATAGCATTAGTGAAGGTCATAACTTACTGCAGAGACACTTCACTTGAAGAGCTACGACAGGGTGACCTTCGTAAGAAATGTTTGGACTATTGGGGGGTCCCAGCAGATGCCAGAAAGGCCCCGCCAAAGATGTCAGCTGAGGAAGCATTTGCAGGAATTCTCAATACTCGTAAGTCAGAAATTTTGAAAATACCTAAGGTTTTATTAGTAACTTTTCTATCTTTCATACATAATACTTTCTTTCTAGCTGAAAAAGGTGCAGAGGTCATACCTCCAGAAGTTATTTTTAGTTCTCGAGAAATAGAACTAAGCCTCATTAATCTTCCTGAAGTGTTTGATTCTATTTACAACTGGCACTGTGCAGTCCTTGGTAACTCTCAAAAGAGTGACAACAACTTAACCTTCTTTCTAGGTGACAGTCTAATATGTTTCTTTGAGATATTGACCATGCATTGAGTCCCTATAAATTGATTTCAAATTCTGCATGCAGGTACTGGTCGAAGAAATGTTTTTTATTTAAAAAATGGAAGATGGTTTAAACTTTCTGGGAATGTCAAGCTAGAACTTAGTGCTGGGACACTTTTGCTTGGAGAAATAGTTAAAGAGATAAAAGGAGAAAGGCAAAGGCAAGTCTGGATCTATGCTCTCCATATTGTGGATGCAATTTGCCTTGGCGGCAATGACATCCGCCATCTACATATAACTGAACGGTAACATAACTTTTTCCAACAATGTTTTTTTTTTCTGTTGTAGTTCTTTTTTTTTTTAATTTTCTTACCTTACTTGATGTTTTTTTATTTTTATAGAGCAAAGCAGTGCAAATTGTTTGCCAAGGCCATGAACAAACCAAACCGCACGGATGTGGCCCCTATTTATGTAAAAGAACTTTTTGAACTGGAAAATATTTTTGATATATACGAAAGGTATTCAATGAGGAACTTGTCTGTGTTACTTGTGTTGAAAAACTTTTGGTTGAATTTGGTTTGATTCTCAACTACCTCCATCTAGGTTGAAAAGCAGAATAATGAAGAATAACAAGAAACAAGAAATATTTCAACTAAATAGGGATGATGCCTGCTTTGTACCTGAAGGATTAATATTCTTCAATGGCACACAAAGTAATAAAAGTTTTGAAATTTCTGTTTTCTTTTAAAATTATAGTTGTATGATTTTTCTTAGACCTGTTTATTATTTGTGCACATTATTTGTTCCAGGTCCATGGAGTAGGCATATGAGTAAAACCCATAAACATAAGTACTACTTTCATAGAAGCACTCGGGAGTCTAAGTTTGACCATGAGAGACCGCCGAAGGCCTGCAAACCCTTCGGGTGAGATCCTCTTCTCTGTAAACTTTATGAAACAGTCGTGAAGTAGAAACATCATCCTCTATCATTTAAAAATTCAAACGAATGTTTTCAGGAAATGTTATGCTGAGAGAGCTGTGTCATGGTGGAACATTGGCATTACATCAATCACCATTAATGATATAATGGATTATGTCAGCCAACGTAGTGATTCTGCGGCCTCTAACCAGTACAAATATCAACAAACATGAACCACTGCCTTTTCTGTGGACCTTATTAAGAGTTCACAAGCCAAGTAATAAATATTTAATTACTTCTTAAGTGAGGTAGACTGTTTTGTGATTCAGCTATAAATTTCTGTTTTCATAGAAGAATTGTTTATCCAGAAGACTGACATAAATTTCTTATTGTTGGAATGTACTTGTAAGAAATATAATTGTCTTATCAAAAACTTTTGTACTCTGTATGCCATTTTCAATCTTCTCTACAACATTGTATCACAAGGACTTCTAATGGTTCATTGGGCCAGTTGGACTAGTGTTTTTTATGTATTAATTTATTGGCACTGGTACAAGTTGTACAGTAGCATGAATTCCCTCCACTGGTTGTTGAGCTTGACCCTCTGCAACTTCGGGTGATGCTGGACTAGTGTTATTGTTACCGGAGGAATATAGTATCTTGTCTGCAACTCGGACCCTGAAAAGAGAATAAGGGAAATAAATACGCATGCCAATGTCTGATTAGGTGTTGACGGGAGAGACTGTCCATGCCTGTCGGGAGCCCCTTCGGGCAGCAGCTCCTCCTTGGGGAGGCCGAGGTCCTCCGCGGTTCCGTTCGTGTAAGTCACACTTTTTAAAAGGTACCTGTAGGAGGAACCAAGTTTAATCAGGCTCTTTTAATCAGGCTCTGGTCAACCTGTCACTTTTCCGCTGCTGCCCATTTTCCATTTTCCCTCGACCACACTCACAGGTTGGTGGTGTTGCTCTGGAGGGCGGCTGCCACGTCCGGGTTGTAGCGGATCGCCTCTTGGATGGCCTCGGCGGGGCTCTCCGTCACCATGACGATCTCGACGCGCGCCTTGGCGTCGTCCATGGGGCTCAGCGGTGCCGCCATCGGGTCCTGCGGCACCAGGTCCTGGGGCGCGGCCTCCGCCACGGCGAGCACCACGCCGACGAGGAGGAGGACGCCCTGCAACGCAAATCGCTAGCGTCCTTGAGGCCCCAGTCCCGAGTTTGCCACAAACGCCGTGCGCCACCCCGCCACCTTCGACCTTCACTCACCGCCACTGCAGTCATTTTGGGGATCCGGGGACGGACTAGGGAACGACTCCACCGCTAGCGTGCAACGGACGACGGAATACGGGCTCGGACTAGAAATGATCCTTTGCCGTTCGCGCACCGGGGTCATATATATAGAGGTGCCTCGTCAGAAACACAACACGAGGGGGCGGGGGAATTGGCGAGTAGCGCTCCCCGCGTCGGGCCTGGTCAGCTTGGTCAGGTGACAAAAACGTTAGCACCTCCCTTCCTTTGGCGTTAGTCATCCGTGCGTTACGTGGCGGTCGGCTGCCAATACCAAAACAGTTCTCAACAGCGAAAAATTTCATGGAAAAGCGAGAAATTTTCAGCCGGAGAGGCAAGCCCATCGCACCCAGCCTCATCAGAAAAAAATACAAAATTTACACGCCTTCCCTGCGGCGCGCCAAAAGGGTGGTCTACCTTCCCGGCGCGCTGTGACATTGGCGACAAAAATGACTTTTCCCGAGACGCTAGTCGGGGTGTGGTGCGCTTTAGAGGACATTGACGATTGGTTGCCTACCTTTACGGAGCACGCGCCTGTAATTCCAGTTTTTTTTCGCTAGAAAAGGACTGTTGAGGGCCGGCATGGTCCTCGGAACAGTGTCAGGAGTCATAAGGGGGCACGCTAGCACAAGATACTCCAATCTGAGCCATTTTAAATTTTTGGCTGAGAACGCTAAAAACCATGATATATAAGCCTTAGCTTTTTTTCGGCGAAAATGGTCAACCACCTCCGATTCGTCTGAAATTGATATGGAACGTTGCCGTGGGTCTAAGAAAAAGATGTCCCATGCCCAATGGGCTTTGACGCGTTCAATTCGGTGTGAAAATGACTTCTCCCGTGACGCCAGTTGAGTGCTGGTGCGGCAACGAGGCTGTGGACGAAGGGTTGCCTACATCTCTGGCGTATGTTCTAACAATTCCAGTGATAGGGGCTGGGCTGACAATGCTCCTTGCGGTACACTCGGAGCAACAGAACTTCCTGTTACGCTTCTCGACGCGCGTCGTGACGTGTCTTCACGGCGCACGCGCGTGCACGTCCCTTTGACACGTGTGGTTCTGCGTATTACCCGTCAGCGGGGCCGAAGTGCCAAAGTCGCGGCGCGGTCTTCGGCGAGGACGGCGGGGACGACGGGGAGCCTCCCGGGCGGTGCCATGGCGGTGCCGGCCGCGGGCACGCCGGCCGCGCCTCCCATTAGCGAGGTCCTGATTAGCGTCTCCGTGGCTGCGTGGCCATGCCCCCCGTCCGAGCGGTGGTGGCCGCCGATTTGGGGGATGACGGGGAGGGGTCGGCGTCACGACGCCCCAGGACGTCCCCAGCGCCGGCCCCCACCACGCCGACCACTATAAGTACGAGAACCCCGCCAGGGCCGTGAACATTCGATGCCACCACCAGGACCCACCATGAACGCCAGACTTGTAAGTACTTCCCTCCGCGCGGCACGCGCTGGCGTGGCTTGCGTGCACCAAGTGGAAAAGCCCCGGGCTCACGCGCCGCGCGGGTCGGTTTTCGGTTCCAGGTGCTACTGCTCGTAGCGCTGGCGGCGGCCTGCCTGCAGGCGCAGCCCGTCGGTGACAAGGAGAACGGGGAGATGTCCGGGTCCGGCAGCTCGTGCGTCTGCGAGGAGGCCGAGATGGTCGTCGGGGACACCCTCCGCAAGATGACCGAGTGCTCCTGCGAGTCCGACGAGGCGGCCGACGACAGCGCCGCCACCGACGCCCCGACCGCCGCGCCCGCCGAGAGCCGACGCCGTCGCCAGGTCGACCCGACCAGCGACTCGAGCGAGTCCGACGACTCTGCGTCCGACGACGACGACGACCGCAGGAAGAGATCCCCGGACGACTCGTCTTCGTCGTCAGATTCAGATTCCTCCGACTCCTCCGACTCTAGCAGCGAGGAGGACAAGAAGCAGAAGAAGGCAGACGACGAGAAAACGAAGCGGCAAACTGAGGACGAGAAGGACGACAGTAAGGAAAAGCGGGAAACAGATGAGGAGGAGAAGAAAGACGACGAGAAGATGAAGCGACAAGCTGAGGACGAGAAGACAGACGACGAGAAGATGAAGCGACAAGCTGAGGACGAGAAGACAGACGACGAGAAGATGAAGCGACAAGCTGAGGACGAGAAGACAGACGACAAGGAAAAGCGCGAAACTGAGGGGGAGGAGAAGAAAGGCGACGAAGTGGAGAAGCGCGAAACTGACGAGAATCAGGGGTCGAGGATGCGAAGGGCAACAGACGAGAAGGAGAAGGACGCCAAGAAGCCCAAGGACGACGACATGGAGAGGGTGAGGAGAGATGCCGAGGAAGGCGACAAGCCCAAGGAAGAAGGCGACAGAATGAGAAGGCAGACGGAAGAGGCACCAAACGCCCCCGCCGCCACTGACGCTGCGGCCGACGCCAACAACACGCAGACACTGTGAGTACTGGACGCACCGGAGCAGCGCTAGGGAATGCCCAAAGACCTGGACTAAAACTGTGTTGATCTATCTCTGTTCGGCAGGTACTTGATCAAGACAGTGACCTACGAAGTCGGCGTTCTAGACAACCCCACTGACGACAGCAACTCTTCCCTGATCGTTGCCACGCCGAGCCCAGTGTAAGTGAACCTGATGGACTTAGCAACGCCACCACCACATCAATACGTGTGTGATTCTCACGTGGAGCCGTTCTTGCAGCTCGGAGAAGGAGGTCGTGACCATCTACTACGACACGCCTGCCAACGCCTCGACGGAGTCCACGCCCGTGGCTGCACCGGTTGCAGCTGCCGCGTAACGCCTCGACTCAATTTCCACTTTTCAAATGCTTTCCCCGCGAGGAAAGGACAGCCGGAGGGACCAGCGGGCAGGGAGTGCCACCCTCGCGCGTAATGACTCACTCCCGATTCTGTGATGATTTTAGACTGTGCATATACTGTAAATAAATACGATTTCTCTCAGTTGTGTCATTTTTATTTCTCGAGAGTACACTGTTAAAAAAATTCTGAAAATTCAGACCAATTTTGTCAGACTTAGCGGTCTGAATCTGTAAATCAGACTTAATTCTGAAAAATCAGAGTTTTTGTCTTAGTTCTTAAACGCTTTGTCTGAAAGCTTAATTCAGACTCGAAGTGTCTTAATATTTGTACTCATTCTCAAAATTCATATGAACTTGCGTCAGACTTCCCAGACCTCAAGAGTCTGAATTTCGGATTCAGACTACTTTCTGAAATATGTTCAAACATAAGAGAAAATTGGACAACTTTCTTCCAAACCTAACATTGGGTTAACTCACAATCAGTCTTACATTCAATTTAATCCGACTCCGTTTCGGGGACTTCAGACAAAACGAAAGCATTTTTCTCTCCGCTAGGTGGCGCCAGTGTCGGTAAAGAGCCTGCTGTTGTTAAAAACGTTTTATTCTGTTAAATTTTTAATATTTTTAACCCGAAATGGCCATCACTCTATTGGCTATGACGAAACATACGCTCCCATACCAAATTTATATCTGTAGCAAACGCGCGAGTTTAACAATTGACATTTGAAGTTACCTCTCGCGGTTGGCTCCGTGCCGTCGTTCCCTAGGGTGCGTCATGCCAGCTCCAGATGAGTGCAGGGAAGAGTCCCACATCGGGGACATTGCCCTACACTCAATTTTTTTACCTAGACGGTTCCTTGAAGTACGTCTCTCCTTTGAGGTTCGGATGCGAACATTATCATTTCACCGAGTTACGGGAAAATTTCCTGCTGCCACTTTCAGACAAAACAATCTAGTAATTGAGACAATTTTGTCTGAATTTTTCAGACTACGACCTGTCTGAAAGGTTAAGACTTGTGTAAGTCTGAAAATTTCAGACCAGGATTTAGTCTGAATTTTCAGTAGGATGTTCTGCATATTTACTTCAGTCAAAAAAGTCTGAATTTTCAGCAAAATTTTTTAACAGTGTACCACTAAAGTAACATCTTAGACTGAAATGTGAATAACAGGAGTTAGACACCTTAAATGAAACACAGCGATTCTTTTAGCATGTGACAGTATATTACAGATATTCACACTCAATAGTTAGCATATAAAAGGCAAGAACAAACAAATAAACCAGAAGATTCATTTGAAATGAAATATTCACCAGATACAAGTTTTTTGAAGTGTTGTATTCAACAGTCAATGTGATGAGGCAGTGGTCTAGAACAAATTTATCCATGTAAAAAGCAGATTCGTGAAGCTCCCAGACATTGCATTGCTATGGCCATTAATTATCTTTTGAATGATGCAAATGACTAGCACACATTACAGGGTGGTTAGTGGTCATACTAACCTACATATTACAGGATACTGTATACATTTTTTCATTGATTCATTTTTTTTTTTAGAAAAGAATCTATAGTTTTTATTTGCTTCTTTGCCGAGTACAAAACAAATTGTGTAAGGCTACTTGTCATTTAAAAAAAAAAAAAGTGAAAATCATTGCTCTTTTTGCCATAAGGAGTAACAGAAACCTTCAAAAATCAGGTACAGGTTCAAGAAGTTTGAAGTGAATACCTATGAGCACTGCAGCAAAACAACTTTGTTTTAGAACTAATAAAAAGGTATCTGTAAAATTATTATCAAATAATTAAAAATTCCAAGTTACTGAGATGCAAAGTTGAGATCATTCATAAATGAATGAGTAGGAAAAATTATTCCATTTCAGATGCTTTGTTATCAACAAAATTATCACACCATTCTGATTGGCAACCTATAATTACCAAGCAAAAAATTGTACAGAAGAACAAACCATCAGACCTTTCCATTGTCTAAAAATAAATATATTATGTACAAATGAATCTGTTGAATATCTAATTACAGGAACAAAATATAATCAAAATCACGTTTACAAGAGAAGTAATTACTTCAAAACAATTACACAAGTCACACATTATCAAATGTACATGTATTAAAAATTTCACATATTAAAAAAAAAGGTCTACTGTATATCTATCTACTGGTCTATCTGGTGGGGTTATTCCTAAATGCATTCATCTACTGGAGAAATTCAAATGTTAGGCAAGTATTATGATTATCATAGCACTTCCAACAAAGTTTCTCCTGTAAAGAGACATGCATGGCCATGGCATCAATAAGGTAGTCATACAGTTATGTACTGATTTTACAGCAAAAAGAAACATAATTGTGGGCACCAAAATTAAACCAGTCTCAAAGAGAAAAGGTGGGTCAGCGGGCCACAAATTCAACATGGAAGCCTTGGGACTTGGGAGATCTAATGCCAAGCTGGCTTGGCATGAAAGCAGGCTCACACAGACACTTCTTCAAAAATTTGATCCCAGTTCCTAATCAGGGGGTCACTATCCATCGTTAGCAGATACACACTAAACTTAGGCATAGTTCAGTGAGCATAGATGTGTGCAGGTACTCGCCACAAAAAAAATTTGTGCGCTGCAATGTACAAAACAGTGCACATTGCGACGCACAAATTTTACTGCCAAAAATAAAATAAAAATTTGTGTAACTGCACACAACCAAGCGCTCGTTAGCGATGGCGAGTGAGGCCCTGAGTCGTGTACACTGCAAACCGCTACACCCACAGCACCCTGAGGGCCTCGGCGCCCTTGTAGGCGGAGCGGCTGATCGCCTCCACGGGGTTGGAGCTCCAGCGCCGGTGGATGGGCACGGGGGGCTTGCCGTGCTGCGCGCCGTGCGGCCGCGTCACCGCCAGCGGCAGCCCCACCTCGTGGAACGAGCCGTGCGAGCGCGAGGACGGCGACGGCGAGGCCGAGGACGAGTGGTGGTGCCAGGCCGCGGACGCAGACGAGGCCGGCGGGTCGCTGGTCGCGTTCAGCTGCGTTGAGCTCAGCAGCGGCAGCCCCACCTCCTGGAAGGACCCCATGGAGGAGAAGCCACTCTCGTCCTCGGCCGAGCTGAGACTCAGGCTGGGCTGCGGCGTGGACGACGGGTAGCCCTTGCTGCGGTACAGGGCCTCCTCCTTGCGCAGGGCCTGCCGCGCCTCCTCCAGCCGGTTGCCGCCGCTCTGGTGCCCGTTGTGCTGCCCGTTCAGGTGCCCGTTCAGGTGCCCGTTGTGGCCGTTGAGGTGGTGGTGGTTGTGGTGGTGGTTGTTGCCCGAGAAGGCGGACTCCAGGCCGCTCAGCAGCGAGGCGGGACCGACGTCGTAGTCGCCGTCCTCCGCGGTGGACGTCGACGAGTTGCTGTGCGACTCGGCCGTGGACTCTCGCAGGCGGTTGTACGACGCGCAACTCACGACCTGCTGGCCAGACAAGGATGGGCGTCAGCGGGGAGGTCCTCTCGCCTGAGGTGACGCCGCCTACGCCGCCGAGGCGGCAGGCCACCCATCGGCCCGAGGCGGCGCGCGTTGGGTGGCCTACCTCCAAGGCGGCCAGCCCCACCGCGACCGCGAACCCCGAAGCGCGCCGACCAGTGCCGACACGACACGACACGACACTCACCTGCGAGTTGCGGATGTTGAGCTTCCGCCGCAGCGCGCCCGTCACGTCGGCGACGAGCGCGGCGTGCGCGTTGCCGCCGGGCGCGGCCTGCATGGCGGCGTGCATGGAGGCGAGGCCGGCGTCTTTGGTGGGGGTGGGCGAGGCGTCGTCGGTCTGGTCCAGCGACACCACAGAGCTGCGCTCGCTGCGCGGCTCGCTGCGGGGCTCGCTGTCTCCCGAGCCGGAGCCCGAGCCGGAACCGGAACCGGACAGCCGGTGCGCCAGGTCCGGCTCGCGGGTGTTGAGGAGGGACTGGACGGTCCGGAGCAGCCGGAACGCCTCCTGAGACAGCTTCTCCGGCGGCACCTCCTCCAGGTCGGACTGGGACGGCCGGGGGCGCCTCCTGGGGAGAGACACGCTGGTGAGTTCAACCTCAGACACACTGCTATCTCTGGAATTAGGTCAACACGGGGTGTTTGTTGGGGAACATGAGCAAACCCATGCGCGCCTAACCACGTGAAGTCGCGGAAGGCGCTGTAGGCCTGCGAGTCCTCGATCTGCGTGATGCTCTTGGCGCGCTGGAAGTCCGGCAGCGAGTCCCTCGAGTCCCGGTGGCCGGGGCTGGCGCGTCCGGGACACACGTCCACCGTGTGCACGGAGCGGGACCGCGGCACCCTGCAGCACACAAAGCACGCCGTGGTGACCGTGGTCCTGATGGCGACACCGCCCTCGCCGCCCACGCTACCCACCTGCCGTTGGGAGTCTTGGGGCGCCCCGTGAGCGACGTGCTGGCGGCCAGCTTGAGGTTCCGGTGCGCGCGCTCCAGGAAGCGCACCACCTGCTCCATCACGGCGCGGTACATGTGTCGGGAGTTCTCCGTCTGGCGAAAAGGGAAACAAAATGCCGGGTGAGGGTTTCCAGCCTTTGAACCACGCACTTCCGAGTGAGCCAGCGTCGAGGACCACTCACCTGCCTGAGCTGCCACTGCAGCGTGTCCACCTGGTTCTGCAGCAGCACGTTGTCCACCATGTCGGCCGTGACGGCCGTGTCGGCCTGCTGCAGCGCGCTGGCCGGCCGGCCCGGCCCGGCGTGGCCCGCCTGCAGCCTCCTGTTCTCCTCCTGCAGCGTCTGCAGCTCCTGCAACACAAAGCGGTCGCGTTGAAAATCCCATCCAATCCCATCCCATACATGTGCACAATGCATTCGGTGCATTCGGGCCGTCGTCGGGCACGCTATCGGCCTTGCATCGCCTTGCATCGGCCCCGATGACGCGCCGACAGGCCGACGGGCCGACACCGCGCACTGACGCCGACGCCCCGGGCGGCCCCGCTCTGCCCCGGCCTGCCCCAACAAGCTTCACAAATCATGCACCTCCGTGGTCACCGCCTCGCCTCGCCTCGCCTCGCCTCGCCTCGCCTCGCCTCGCCCGACGTACCGTAGTTTGGAAAAGGTTAAAGGGTTGCCCCCTCCACCGTAATACCGCGAGTACCCTGCGGTACCCTGCGGGCCTGGGAACGTCCGCCGCACCACCCGACCTGGGTAATTGCCCCGCCCCCCTTCCCGCCGATATGGATACGAACGGCACCGCTCGATGGGAGCCGCCAGGCCGGGCAGGCCAAGCAGGCCAGCACGCTGAATGAGTGGACGGCATATCGCGGTCCTCGCATCGCACCGTCGCCGTTCTGCTTCGGCTCGGCGGCTTGGCGGCGCTCGCGGTCCGCGGGGCGTTCTCGGTTCTCGCTCGCCTGATCGGCCCGGCCGCCTTTCCCGGACTAGGCGTCGCGTCGGCTGCCCGGCAGCGGTGAATAATCGCCGACACGAACGAAAACCCCTTTCAGGACAAGTGCGGTCCGCGGCGGTCCGCGGCGCCACCGCCAGCCGAGCGACTCCGAAGGAGTGTTTCGCCGCTGTCTCTCTCGCGCCCCTCGGCAGCGGCCGGCAGCGCATGGGGGCGACAGAGACGGAGCGAGGGGCTCCGCTCCAGGTCCGCCAGGCCCTCGGCGAGGCCGCTCCCGTTCATAATCATCGGCCTCGCCGTCCTCGCCGTCCTTTCGGATCTTCGGATCTAGATCTGGCTGGACGGAGACGGAACGGCGGAACGACGGAACGAGGTTAACTGGACGCGTCGACTCGTTACCGGCCGTTTGGCTCGGCGGTTCGGCCGGCCGCTCGACCGGCAGACTGACTCTGTCTCTCTCGCACTCGTGGGGCGTCCCGTGCAAGAGCGAGAGAGACGGAGCGACGAAAACGGCTCTCGGAATGAGTCCGCAGCCCGGCGTCATGCTAACGAGATTACCCGTCCCGTCGTGCCGTACCATTTTTTACGCGCGGAAGCAAATCACGGTGGCGCGGCACGGCGAGGCGGACGCTGGCTCGCTCGGCCAAGGCGCGGCCCGGCCCGGCCGCGCAAACACCAACCAACACCAACGCGGCGCGCAGCAAGCAACGCAGTGCAGTGCCGTTGCCGTTTCTCCCGACCCGCTCCGCTCCGGCAGCCCTGCCCTGCTCGGCCCCGGGGGCGAAAATAACGAATAACGAGGTCCCGCCGCGTCCCGCCTCGCCGTCATGGTCGCCATCAACATGGCCGCGGCCACGGAGGGAGCGCCAGCCTGGCCAAGCCGAGGGCCAAGCCCAGCGAGGTGCGCGTCGACGCGCGTCCGTCCGATAGTCCGATACCGGCCGCCGCGCCGCCTCATTGGGACAGTGGATCGAGTAGAACACGCATTCAGGCATTCAGGTTCAGGGGGTTCAGGCCCACGCGGCGGGCAGGGCCGGGCAGGGCCGGCAGCGGGGCGACAGGCAGACCCTTCTCTAATAGACAGTTATGGTCCAGTGACAGAAGGGCTGGCTGTGGCCGGCTGCCATGCCACGCCACGCTGCGCCACGCCCCCGGCGGCGGGCCCGGCGCGTCCGGGACGGGGCACTTGTTGTTGGGGCGGAGCGGCAGCGGTCACGCGCTTCCAGAGGGAACCCAGAGGGCAGCCGATCAGGAACAGATGAGCTCCAGTCCTACTGCCCTTCGGCCTCGGCGGCCCTCGGCTCACACTCGCACCCAGAGGCTGATTCCGAACAGTGCTTTCGTCGCTCCGTCTCTCTCCCACCCATGGGGCGCTTCCAAGGGGTGCGAGAGAGACGGGGCGACGAGAGTCGGCCTGTGAGCCGGCCTGCTGGCGGGGCTGGCAGCCAGCGTCCGGCCGTACAACAATCATGCCTTCAAATTAATTCCAGAGTGTACAAATTGAAGCAGTCGTCGGGGAGGTGCAGTGTAGGCAGTGTAGGCCGGGGCGCTGCCGCTTCACCCGCTTCGCCGCTCGGCGTGGCACCGCGGGGCAATTACTGTCCTGGAGGCCTCCCTCCTCCCCGTGGTGGAGGCCGAGAAGGGCGTCGGCCAGCATTGTCTCTGCCGGCCACGGCACCACGGCGCGGCCAGTGACATTCCTCGGGCGACATGAAATGAGCGTTAATATGATCGATGATGGGGATAAATCTCCCGGAAGGCGGGTGCGCTGTGCACACAATGCGGTGGGTACGCGACACCCTACACCTTGGGTCCCTAGGCTCGAAATAAATTTGAAGAACTTCAGGAGAAGGGGGGCAGGGGCACTGTAATGCGTGTTCCACGCCACGCCACGCCACGCCGGGCGCATGCATGCAGTTTGCCGTGACGCGGCGTCGCGCCTCGTGGGCCCCGCCGCCATTCAAGTCGCCACGCACCCCACCTGCAGTGTCCGTGTGACTCGGCACCCTGGCGGCCCCTCGCGCCGGGCCCCGCGAGTGCGACGGAGACAGCGACGGCGAAGCGACTCGGCCGCTCTGCCTCACGGCTAATTTCGGAACGCGACGGCCGATTGGACGCCCCACGCCCCTCTGCCCGGGGGAAGGGGGGGGGGGCTTTATTGTTTTCATCCTCGGGTAAAGCACGCGGTGCACGCCGCGCCGCGCACGGTTGGGTGCCCGCGTCAGGTTCGGTGACTCATAATGAGTAAAATCGGACGAGAATAAAACGAAGGAGGAGGAGAAGGAGGAGGAGGAGGAGGATGAGGAGCGGGGGGAGGTGGACGATCAAAGTGTGAGTGGCTTCGTCAAACAAAACAATGAACTCAATTAACCGGGCGACCGCAAAGTGCGCGAGGACGGGGTTGGCGTCGGGCCTCGGCAGCCCCGGCCACCTCATCACCGCCACCCTAACGGCCAACGGCGCAGCGGCAGCACTGCAGCACGGCAGCTCATCCTCCAATGAGAAGCAAAGGCGGTCATCTGGTTGCGGTTTGGCGTGGCCGCGCCACGCCGCTCTTCGCCGCTCCCCGCGGGCCCGAACCACTTTACAGGCTGTCGGTTCGGCTCGGCTCTCTTCTTGTTGTCTAATAACACTCCGGCCGGACTCTGGATGTGGCATGTTCCGCGCAGGAATGCAGAGTGCGGGCCGCAGTGTGTGTCGTGCGGTCGGACGGGCGGCGTTCATACGGAACGTGACACGTCCAGGGCGCGGCCGGGGCGGGAAGGTGCAAGCAAGGTGCAAACAAGGTGCGGAGCACGGCGGAGACAGGGCGGACAGCGAGGGTGACAACCAGGTGGAGAACAAGGTGGGCAGCGAGGGCGAAGGCCAGTCCTACGCAAAGAGCCGTTGAAGACCGGACGCGGGATACTCGAACGCGAGAACAAGGTGGAAACAACGCCGCGCTGCAACGGCGCCACCCCCAAGCCCCATCGCCCCCTCCCTGGTGGAGTGCGTTGACGGCTCCTTCCTCCTGCCAAGGTTCCGATCAGACGTACGGGGCGTCGGGCCGTGGCGGGGCGGGGCGGGGCGGGGCGGGGCGGGGCGGGGCGGGGCGGGGCGGGGCGGGGCGTAGAGGAGTTCCTTCCTCGAGTCATTAGAGCAGGGCGGCCCCTTTGTCGGCCGCGCCGTGTTTAATAAAGGTGGCGGGCGGCGCCTCGCCGCGGCCGGGCGGCCGGGGCGGCCAGGGCGGGGGCCGGGATGACGGGGGGCTCGGGGAGGCTCCAACACCTTGCACGTGAGGCGCCGCTGCCAACAACAACAACACGCCCGGCAACAAGAGCCGCGGCGCGGTCGTGGTGCGCGCGCACACACACACACTCGCAGTGCGCCGTGAGGTGCCGTGGGGCCCCCAAGGGGGTTGAGCGGGGCGGCGAGTCCGCGTCGCTGAAAAATCGTGCGGGGAGCGCGCGAAGGCGGAACGGAGAGAACCGGGAGAAACGAACAACGAGACGGCGGTGGGGGAGGCGGAGAGCCCCGCCGTGTAATTTATGCATGGCCTGCATGGCCTGCGCCGTGACCCGGGGCGTACCGGCTACGTGCCGAGTCCCGGCCTCCCGGCCCAAGCCGAGACGCGCTCTTTCGTCTCGCTGGCCGCGCCGTGCCGCCGGGCTCCAGGCTGCGGTCCGGACGCAGTCCGGCAGAGCAAGGCGAGCGGGGCGACCCCCTCGGCGTCCAGCTCCACCCTCGCCGTCAATGGGCCCCGTGCAGACATCCTGCCGCCCGCACCCAACCCCGCCACGGCGAGCAGGCTCAGAGTCTACCAAACTGCACCGAGGCCGGATAGAGAGGACGGTGCGGCCGGCGGGGGGCGGGGGCGGCGGGGCGACTTTTCCGAATCAGCGCGTTCTGAATGGGCATCCGCTCCACCTCAAGTCACACCTGTCGTACTACCTGGGCTTACCTGGCGGCCCGCAGTGCAGCACCCTGCAGCACCCTGCAGCAGCACAACGGCGACTCGGGCACGCCTCAGCGTCGCACCAGCGTCGCATCAGCTGGGAGGCAGGATCGGAAGGAAGTGACTCAAGTGATGGCGTGGGGGTGGGGGAAAGGAATCCGACCGTCCCGTCCGAGGGCCGCGACGGCAACGACGCCAACGACAGGCGGGCGGACAGGTACTGGATGCCATGGACCACCAATGGATGGTCAACAGCCATGACAAGGCGCGCCGTGCGCCGAGCGCCGAGCGGGCGACGTGGCGAGTGTATTGATCACTGCCATTGCCTCCCCCCCTTTCCCCTCTCCAAAGCGTCCGCTTCCTGCCCACGCGGGTTCACATTCCTCTGCAGCGACGCGCGGCCGAGCCGGCGAATCACAGCCACCACACCGGGAGAGAGGGAGAGAGAGAGAGGAGGCTGCCAGCCACCTCAACGCGGACAGTACGTATCGGTGATTCTTTCTGTATAAAAAGGGTGCGCCAAAGCTGGCAGTGCAGTGCACTACCGTCTCCGATATAACGAGCTGTGTGGCCCCCCAGACGCACACACACCTGCACACAAATCGACGAGACGGCAGAGCACTGTAATCCACACACAAACACACACGCCCATATCCAGCGCATTTAATAATCCCACTCGTGCGTGTGCTCCGGTGTGCTTCCCCGCCCAGGGCCGACCCCCTTCTTTGGCGGGCCAAATGAAAACAAACCCACCGACACCGATCCAGCGGCCGCACTGACGCACTAGTATGGACCCGACGGACCCCCTTTGGATGCCATGGCCCTACTACTCATGGGCGCATCGCCGCACCGGCGCGCACGGCATGGCTTGATTGCCGCGTCGGGCTCCGTGGGGCCCTTCGGGACCATTAGGGGCAATCAATGGGGTGCGGGGGCGGCGCGACGGGGGGCCGAGACAGGTAAGGCACCTGAGGTAAGGCCCAACGGGTACCTCCTTTTTACACACACAACCCAGACGCGCGCTCACACACACATACATACATACACACACACACACACACACACACACACACACACACACAAACACACACACAAACACGCTGGAGCGCGCAGGAAAAAGCCCGCCGGACGCGAGTAAGAACACACGAGCCAAAGCTTGGTTGCAAGTCTGCCGAGCAGCAGACTCTGGCATTCCATCCCGTCCAGTTTTCCGACGGCACGCAGTGCACCCACGCGGTCCATCGCCCCGTACCTGCCGCACCTGACACACAACCCTCCTTCCCCTCCCACGGCACACAGACCGTGGAGCATGGGGCGGCTTGACTTCCGCCCCCCCCCCCCTTCCCCGCTCCGCCATCACGACGGCCCCGAAACGCTAACGCCCCGCGTCCACCTCGAGTGGGTACCGAGGTGGGTACGTTCCTTTCCCTTCGAGACTCCGAGACCGTCAAGTCGGAAACGGAGGAAAACACGGGTCGGGCGGAACAGGCGGGGCCGGGGGAGTGCACTGCCCAAAACTACAGACAGAGAGCGCCCAGAGGAATCCCATTCACTTCACAGCGAGCTGCTTCCAAACGGAGCTCGCGTCGTTCCGTCTCTCTCGCACTCATGGGGCGTCCCGTGTAGGTGCGAGAGGGACACAGCGTTGTTCGGAATCGCCAGCCGGAGCCGGGCCTCCCAAACGTCAGTGGCACTTGCCAGTGTGGATGTGGGTTAGCCGCGCTGAGCCCCGGCCTTGCCCCAGCGCGTTTCAATGGCCGTGGTTGTGAGCTACTTCGCTCCGCGGGGCAGCCCAGGGCAGGCAGCACGGCAGCACGCGGCCGAGAGGTTTGCGCACCAGTTACCACGCCCCGCCATGCGTGCCCTCGCGTGCGCGCCCCGCCCCGCCCCGCCCCGCCCCGCCCCCGCGCGGCCTGGCTGGGCCGAGCTGGCTGGACCATCGTCGCGGTCCTCATCCGGCACCGGTGATGCTCCTCGCGAAAATGAGAGCTTCGTCGGTCCGCTGGGCCGCGTCGCCGCGGGCAGCCCGCCGTGCAAGGGCCGCCACTGGCCGCCACGCGCTGTCTCTCTCGCACCCATCTGCAACGCCGCCCCACCCCCTGAGTGCGACAGAGAGCGCTGTTTCGGAGAGCGGCTCTGCAGCGGCAGCGGCCAGCGCGTCGGACACGCCGAGCCGCGGGGCCGTCCCGTCCGGTCCAGTCCACCCCGTCGCACTCCTCTTCGTCTGCGTCTGCCATGCCGCCTTCCCACGGTCCGGCCGCCGCGCCGGCACCGGCATCCCGAACAACAACGGCACGCCGACGAGAGAGAGAGGGGCATTTCGGGCTAGGGCCTGCACTCAAGCGGAGGCCGGCAGAGGCTAGCATCCGCAGCAAATCAATAACGAGGCCGAATAGCAGGGCGAAGGCCAAGGCGAAGGCCTCTGCCAAGGCCACGTCCAGCGTGGTATCGCCAGGGCCGATCTAGGATGGATGGCACAGAGGTGAAGGTGCAAGGCGAGGTCCTGTTAGGCGGACCGGGCCGCGGGGCCGAGACGCGCCCAATTTCTCCTACACTGCGATCAAGCCCGCCCCGAATCGAACAGAACAAGCACGACGGTTGCACGGACGTGGACATCTGCATTCATTGGACACAGCTCATTTTGGGACTTTGCGGCCGAAGCCACCGAGGCGACCAAGTTACCTTGAGCTGCGAGTACTCCCACCACCACTCTTCGGGCATGTCGACCAACAACGCCCTGGGACGACAAGGGGACCGCCAGGCACGACCACGACACTCGCAAGCAAGACAACGGCGGGGCGGACGGGCGGCGACCCTCCAGGGGCACTTCCGACCACTTGGGCGAGGAGCGAGGTAAGGCGGCTCGCGGTGCAGCCAGGTACACTAGCGAGGTGCGTGGCCCGGGCGGCGGCTCGACTTCGACTGGAGGTGCTGGAGGAGGAGGAGGAAGGAGCTGCGCTGCAGGCTGCGGCTGGGCTCCGCTCCGGGCAGCGGCCGTCCGAAGCCCCCCGCCGCGCCCCGCCGGCCGGAACAGCAGCAACAGCCCCCCGCCGCCCTCCTCTCCGCGGAGGCCGTGGCCGAGGACCTGCCGCGGCCCGGGGCGGTGCGGGTGGCGGCGTCCCTCACACTGTCACACTCCTTCTCGGGTCGTGAACCCGCTTATGCCCACGCGTGGGTGATCGGGGCGAGCCGACACGCGAGACTAACTAGACGCGAACACAGGAGATGCCACTCTCAGTCACGAACCAATTTAACGCACAGCAGAAAAGAATGCGTTTAGATAATTCGATCGCTTTTAGACAAACTTTGTGAGACTACTGCTCCCAAACTAGATGCGGTCAAAGCCTTCCCGAGAAGGGGGATGAAAGAGTAGGGTCTTAAGAATACTAGGGCGTTGAGGGAGGCCTTTGACCGCAGCTAGATTTGATGCAGTGGCTCTCCAAAGTCAGCGACATTTGATTTTCGACACTTTGTCTCGAGCATGCTCTGGCCACTGGCCACCCTAGCGGGCCGTGGCGAGAGTGGCGAGCGACGCCCGAAGGCAGCTGCCCGCCCGGCTCGCGAGCAGGATGGGCTGCCTACCTCCACGGCGCTCCCCGGCGAGGAGGCGACCGACGGCAAGGCGCGTCGCAGCGCGGCGGTCAGCGAGTCAGCGACCGCCCCCCTCCCCCCGGTCTTCATTTTTCTCGGATCGCATCCCGTCGCCACGGCGGCCACGGCGGCCACGGCCCCGGGACGACTGGCTGATTTCGAACTGATCTCCGCCGCTGTCTGCTGTCTCCCTTCGCACCCTCCCGCGACGCCCGAGGAGTGCGAGAGAGACAGGGCGACGAGGCGCCGTTCGGGACGAACCCGCAGGCCGAATTAATCTCGGCTCCGGAAGCGGCAAGCCCGGCGAGCCCGGCAAGCGACGCGTTTCGGCGCCGTTCTCTGTCACGGTCGCGGAGCGCCCTACTTGCACGAGGACGGAGGACGCCACCAACCCCGACATTAATCACGACCCCAGCGTCCTGGCCGTCACCACCGCCGCGGACCGGAACCGGCACGGCGGCGAGGACGGCGACGACGAGGATCATCAGCGGGACGCGCACGCCACTTGCGGGCCACTTTGGCGCATCCTTCCAGCCTTCCAGCGTACCCTTGTAGGGCGGGAGGGCCCTCACGGCGCCACTGCACTGCAAGGCACGGCACTGGAAGGCACGGCGCAGCCTCAGCCGAGCGCGTAAAAGCAGGCAACGGGTCCCGCCCGCTGCTCCGCGAGCTCCGTGCTCCGCGCTGCTCTCCTGGGCCGTGAACGAGAGTAAGCCGAGCGGGCCGTAAGGACGAGTTTAGGAGCGGCCCGCGAAACGCCCTCCGCGTCCTTGGTATGGGCTGGGGCCCCGGCGGGGCTTCGCGGCGCCTCCGGCCTGCGGGGCCGTGATCTCGACGCTGGAGGAGCCATTGGGAGGAGCCCCGGGCCCCGGGCGGGGCGTGGTGGCACGCCGTGGTGGCACGCAGCCTGCCCGGCCGGGCCGCGGCTACGCCAGGCTACGCCCGGACAGCCTTGCGCATGTTTTCACGTCTTGCACGCCGGATCGCCGAGAATTGCTCCGACCCGCTCCGCTCCGGCTTCGCTGCTTCGCCGGCTCCGCTCTGCAGACCGATTCCGAAGAGTGGTTTCGTCGCTCTGTCCCTGTCGCACTCGTGGGGCGTGCTGTAAGGGCGCGAGAGAGACAGAGCGACGCCGTGGCTCCGGCGCGAGCGCCGCGACGCGCATGCCCCCAGCCTCAGTCCCCGATTCAAAGCGCCACGCCCCGAGAAAGGAATTAGTTTCAGCACCGGAGGGGCAAAAAAGGAAAAGAGGTTGGCGTGTGACAACCCTGCGGCGAATAGACTCTGCTCCCCAAAGCCTACCCGGGTTTTGGGTTTAGGGGTTTGCATCGGCGCGCTACAAAGCCCGCGGAATGGCTGCGACCCGGAAGCGTTTAGCCGCCCCGCCCCGCCCCGCCCGTCTGTTTCCACGGCTGCAGGCGCTCGCCGTGGTTCTGGTTCCACACATCGCGCATCGGCCGCGGGAGAGGGAGGGGAGGCGGATCGCAACACGTACTCGCTCCGTGTACCTCCGCGGTCCTGCAGACTGATTCCGAGGGTCGTTCTTGTCGCCGTCTCTCTCGCACTTACGGGACGTCTCGTCGAGGTGCGAGAGAGACAGACTAACCCGTCTGGTCCGACCACTGTCTGGCCGGGGCACACCCTCTTGGGGGCGCACTGCGCACCGCCGGTAGGAAAAGAGCCAAGCAGAAGAATGAAACAAAGAGAAAAGTTGACGGGTTCGGCGCGCCGCGCACCGGACTCATCCCGTGGCCGGGCGTAACCGCCGCGCTTCATAAGGCAGCCGTCGTTGCAGAACCGCCTGCTGCAGGCTGATTGCGGACATTGCTTTCGTCGCCCTGTCTCTCTCGCACTCACGAGACGGCCCGTACGGGTGCGAGAGAGACAGAGCGACAGAGCACTCTCCGGAATCAGGCTGCTGCTGGCTAAGGCAGGCACAGGAAGGCGCAGGGTCCCGGCGCCCTTTTGGAGGCCCCCAAACAGGTGGCAGGGCAGCTGGCCCGCCCCGGAGTGGATTTCCGGCGGCTACGCCACCGGCAGAGGCGGACGCCACGCCGCGCAACCAGGCTGGGCCGGGACGCGCACGACGACGCGGACGACGACGCGGACGACGCCACGAACGGCGAGGACGAGTTATGCGATGCGCCGCCATGCTGCCAAGGGGCTGGCCGTCACCGTCAGGCCGTCCCGTCCCGTCCACCGGCCGTCCAGTCACACAATTCAGGCGACGCGACGCAACGCCGACGCCAGGCCCTACATCTCCGCGCCGCGCGCCGCGTCATGCCCGTCCGTCCGATGCCCGTTGGCTGGGCTGCCCGTCGCGCCCCGGCCGTCACGTCACGTGCGTCACGCCGCACTTTGGGGCCCTGAATCGCGTTCCCACCGCGAGCACGGCGTCGAGCACGGCGTCGAGCCGGTGGCGGCAGAGGAACGACGTGACTGGCCTGGCATTCATCTCAGCCGTGCTCTCGGGCGCCACTGCAAACGTGTTCCGTGGCACGGCGCACGGCGGCGGCGCTGGCGGTGACATCCCCAAGATTGACCCGTCAGCGTCAGCGGCCACCCTGGCGGAGGCGGAGGGGCGGCGGTCAACCAAGAAGCGCGCCGAAAGTCCGCGCTGCATTTCCTGCTCGGGTTGCGAGGGGGCGGAGGCCGGCGGGGCGGCCCGGCGGTGTCACCTGGCAAGCGGCCCAGAGGGTCCCGCGGGTCCTGCGCGGGTCCTCGACGGGCAGGGCCGGCCGTCTGGCCCGGGCCACCAGGAATGCACAACACGGCCGCGGCTGCAAGAGCGATGCCCCCTGGGCCTGGGCCATGGCGCCCGTCGCATCGCAGTGGCCAGCGCCGCCGCGCCCCGCTCGAGCCTCGGGGTGGGTGCCCCCTGGGCCCCTGCCCGCCACCCCAGGGAGCGCGAGCCGCATTCCCGCCAGCAGACGCACTCATTCCAATTTAGCGGAGTACAAACTAAAAATCAATCCGACTTAGATCGCAGACTCGTCCTCCGGATTACACGCGCTTGCCGTGCGCAAACAGCGATCCCTTCCCCGCAGTCCACTTTGTCCACTTCCCGCACTTCCCGCTGCCGAGGCGCTGAGGCGGACGCACGCATTAGGGACGCCCACGGCGGCCGCGCCGGCCGCGGCAAAAGTATGACAAATGTTTATGTAAGCGCGCCGGCCGGCACACCGTACACGTAGAGGCGCACCGGCACGCCACCGCCACGGCGTGCCACTGCGGGGCGGTCGGCGATCCGCATTATCGGCGTGGGTGCAGTGCAGGCGGAGCACGCCACGCCCCGCCACGCCACGCCCCGCCACGCCCCGCCACGCCAGCGCGGGCACGGAGCGCCGAGTGCAAGCAAGCCACCCGGAAACACGCCTGCGCCGCCACCGCGTACTTATTGCTATAAGCGCGCGCACCGAGCGTGTGCGTGTGTTGGTGTGCGTACATGCAGCATGCACACACACACACACACACACACACACACACACACACACACACACACACACACACACAAACACTCCTCGAGAATGGGTAATTCCTCTCCCGGCCCTACAGTATCCCGCTACCGCCACCCACCGCACGTACTTCACGAGGCCGCGTGAGGTTCACTGTCCTCGCTGCGCGCACAATCGTGCGTTCGTGTGTGTGTGTGTGTGTGTGTGTGTGTCACGTTGTGTCACAGGGAGCGTGATGGTAGTGGCGATACCGGTGACGCGTTAGCAGTGTGGTGGTGGTAGCCAAGATTTTACAAACATGAGCATGAGCAACAACAACAACAACAACAGTAAGAGTAAATACTACACGCTCGTAGACAGGGTCGTCCACCCCTTGCTGCTGCTGCTTCATTTCGGTCTCAATGGGCAGAGTGAGAGAGAGAGAGAGAGAAGTATACATGGGGGCGCCGGGCGGTTGCGCCGGTCGCAGGTGGACTGGCAAGGGTCCATCTAGTCCATCTCTTTCCCCCACCCCCCTCACATCGCGCGCCCCATCTGGCAGGCGACGACGGCAGGGTGGCGAGGACGGCGACGACGCCGGAAGCAGAGCGCTTGGCGGCGCTTGGCGTGGTGGAGGCGCGAGCGCGCGCGAGCCGAGCGGGTCGGGCACGATTGGCCGGCCGCGATAAGCGAAATATAAAAGAGCGCCTCGACGACGACGTGGCCGCGGGGCGGGGCAGGGCGGGGCGGGGCGGGGCGCTGCTGCAGCCGGTCCACTAATACACCACGCCGCCGAACGCGACCAGCCGAGTCATTCCCAAACAGTCGCTTTTCCGGCGCGCTGTCTCCGTCGCACCCAAACGGG